GCCCGCTCCATCCGAAAACGACGAGTTAGAAACCATTCCTGACCACAGATGAATCCTACCCGGGTGTTGAACCTTGCACCAATACTACCTTCAGATCTCTCTCAATGCCGTTAAGCTCTGATGTGACATAAGCCTGATACTTCTCATTCTGACTGGGTACGTGGCAGGCAGTGGCACCGGTAGACATATTCTTAACAAAACTCCAAGCAAGGCCTTCCGACTGAGCGTCCCGTGTTCAACAAGCTTCACTCTAAAACCTTATGGACTAAGTCTGCCTGTTGTCCTCCCCTGGAGCGCGGAATTGGTCTCCGGTACGAATCCCAGACTCGCTGTTTTTCATGCAAGAAAATGTTTTCCGTGCATAGATCGTCAGAGACGAGCCGTATCGAGATTTTCATATTCTGTCAAGTACTTCTCCCATCATCCATGCCTACCCTCATAGTGCAGGCCCGCCCCTACACCCGGTACTGTGGAGTCCTATCAACCTACTGCCATCCCCATCTATTACAACCTATTCCTTCAACAATAAATTCCTCAGGCTCTCTGAATTCAGTCAATTCATCTCACAGCTGAGCGATTAAACTACAGAACAACTTCCCACCATGAACACAACACTATTTCTTCCAGATGAGAGAAAATGGCAAGTTGGCTATTCTCATCTCAACCCAGGTCTTCCCATGAGGTAAAATGTTAAGAAAAAATCCATCTCGTCAGTGGCCATCCTCCACTCGATGCGAGCACGGCGCTTACTGTACTATCTATAACGCTGACCCCAAATAGAGGATGCAGTTGACAACGAAATGAGAGGATCTAAGGGACCTTTGACTCGAGATCTCGAGCAATAGTGACGGTCCATAGACAAAAACATCTCAGAAAATAACCCGAATATTCTAAGACTGGCATCAGTCAACCTGCTGAGACGACATCCAATAGACTTGGGGGTAATGTATCCTCTGACACTCTACGACTAGTAGAAAGATACGATAAAAATACACATCACGACAACTGCACCCCAACTGTGATAACCCCTGTAGACAGTACGAAGAATAAGAAGTAGAGTAGTTCTGTTACTACGACAGCGCTACTTTGGAGATAGTAGTAGTAGTAGTAGTAGTAGCAGCAGTATAAGTAAAAGACATTGTACAAACAGCCGTCAGAATGAGCTCAAGTGCCCACGATAAAACGACTACAGAAAGAGCTTCCACTGTGGACAGAATAGTATGACTGAAACGGATGGGGTATTGCCCTGTAGTCGGTATGATAGTGAGTGAACCCCGGGCACCACAATATGAATCAGAGTTATTCAGCCATGGCGAAAAATACAAAGTCAACAACTGCAAGTCTTATGCTTCACAAACAAGAGACCTCCGACGGTACCTGCGACAAGCACACATTAGTCCGTCACATCACGAGCACTGCTTACCCATGTTTCTGCGGCTTGTTATGTTCAGGAGACTTGGAGATTCCAGTAGAAGTGGCAGCCTCCTCCACCGCAGCTGTGGCCGTCAAGGTGGCTCTTCTCAACGCACACTCTTCCGAGTACTCATCAATTTCAGCAAATTCAGCAGCCTGGGCGATAGTATAATCATCTACTTCACCATTGTCATTCATCAAGCCTATCAGTGAGTGCAGCAGATAAAACTGAGGAAAAAATACCTCTCCTCAATAATCGTACCACTCCTTCTCCAAATCATCATTACCAGTTGGCGTTCCAATTCGAGCAGAGTTGGGACCTCTTTCAACAAACAGGTCTTAACCGACACACCCGGATATAACGTTCGAAGAGCTTTCGCCGGCTCCACGTCGCCTGGCATGTTTCCAAGCAACAAGATCTAAAGACATCAATCAACATTCACTTGCCGCCCCCTCACTAACCTCAAGGGAGTCCTCATCCGAGCCAGTGCCGGTTCGAGAGAACTCGTTGACAAGTTTGACAACTGCCGGACACTTCTGTCTGAATTCACAAAACGACATCATTCAAGTAGGCCGCCGTCTCTCCTCCACTACTTGAGTCCCAATTGGCGCGTCGCTTTAGGAGTATGAACAATTCGAGCGCGTTCGAGAAGGGGTGTCAATTCAGGCGCGAAGGCCGCGCAGCTCTGCTCCACCCAGCCTTCTGTGCTGGAAGTTAATATTATCAAACCATCGTCCGCACATAAATCCAATAGGAGCTCTAACACCGAAGCTGCAATACTAATATACCGTCGGGGTAGCTTCATCTGAACGATAGGACTACCAAGGCGGTATTGAAATTATGCCTCACTTCCCCATCATGTTTAACGATGTCCTTTGTGGGCATAATTGTATCGTCCCAGTCTAAGACAGTCAGAAGGCGAGCACCGTTGACTCGTCGTTCGGTGGTTGTGGCAAAGTTATATTTGTTTGTGGGAGTCTGCATGGAATTTGAAAAAAATATCTCTCTAACAAAATCAGCACTCAACATCAGCAACTGGTGACGACGACGACTGCCCGATGCACAGCTACTCTGACGAGTTCAACGATGAAAATAAAGTCTTCAACGACAAAATAGACAAAATATGAGAAATTTAGGAGGGAAAATTGTATTCTATCTCCTATTCCGCGTATGGCGTTCATTAAAAGTTCCTAAACATCCCTCTACGACCTGGAAAAGAGAGCCATTAATTGCGGAGCGAGCGAAGCGAACGAAGTTAATTCCTCCTTCCGGAATTTTCGTCCATGCGTAGTAATACATCAGAGAGTATTATAACTGCATCATGACTTGCCTTGATGATCTTACCACATCTGTGCACGAAAAACAGTAACTGCGGAAAAGTGACGCCTCCAGGGACCGAATCGGGATGTCTCTTAGGGTCTGAATCAGGCATCTAAGGGTGTGGGAATTGCGGAGCGATGCATTTGGTTTGGTTTCATCCAACAAGCACTCATACATTAATCGTGGTAAAATGGATAAATTGTGGAAACTACACTATTGCGTCACGTAAAGATACGTGCTACTTGAGAGTTGATAAGATAGCAAGGTAACGGTCTTGCTCCGACAGATCACCGTCCCCGAACGATGGATTCTTCCTGTGGTAGCTCAAATATCCCTCAGCGAACAGAAAGAAGTGTAATTTTCAGTCTTCTGGGCATTGACTTCCCGCAATGGACAGACTAGGTCTCCTCGATTCTTGGCAAGATTCGAGATTCGTTCGCTCGTGAATCATCAGTAGGGTTTGTACAAATTGCAATTGCAGCCCACAATGTGGCCTGAAATTGCAATTGTAATTGCATGCAATTCCATGCAATTGAATTTTTTTGGCGCGCTACGTGCGCGCTCCTTGAACACTTCCTAGGAAGCCGCCCGAATTTCATCCATAATCGAAGTGAAGCCAGTTCTCTGAGGTGCCACCTCACAGGTGGTGCTCATCAATACATGGCTTACGCACTCAGTGCGTTGCACTGTAGTGGACAACTCGTGAAGGAGATTGACGAGACCTGCGCTCAGGAATAAGTTGTTATCTTAATTAACTTTTGTCTTTCTCAGGCTAACAGGACCGGGGAATATTGCGCTTTCTGATGCCCGGCAAGTTCCTTCCCACTCAAGGCTTCCCCTATCGTGAAGGTACATGTTAATTTACTATTTCTCTCACACACTTACCTTGATATACCATAACCACTCTGGCGGGGTGACCCAACAGCTTCTTGAGGAAGCCTTCCTCTGAAACGCTCAACGACATCTATTAAACAGATTCTATTTCGACTTGCACAGTGCAAATTGCACAACTCCCCAGCGGAGAATCGGACTCTCCACTGGGGACTCTCAGAGTCCTCAATGTCCCAATGTTTCGCGTACTCCCAGCGATTTGTATTGTTCCGAAATTCAACCTGCAACATCATCATAACGGCCCAGCCTGAATGATAAGATAGCATTGCTATCATAACAAGCTAACAAGACATTGGCCCTATTATAGGGCCCGTATATGTAGTTTAGGAAGCTTCCTTGAATGATGAAGGAGCGCCTCTTTGTAGCTTGAGAGGCGAAGGAGGGTTAGGAGTCCTTAAAGTTAGGACTCTGAGGTCCTTACGTAAGGTCCTTAAGGAAGCAGCCTATGGAGCTGCTCCTTATAACACTCAGAAGCCACTACCTGAGGTTCCTAAGGAATTAGCCTTAGGAGCGTTGGGCTGATCGGATCCGGCCTACCCCAAGCTTACGAGGCCGGAATTGAGAATCCCCGTCCCGAATGATCGATCCTACGGCCTCTGGCCGCCAGCACGACGTATTAACCGTCACTATAAGAGATTCTTCTCTTAGGGTGCGCCTCGAAGAGCAGTACGTAAGTCATAGGGCCACCACTACTTCAGTGATACACCCGCCACCTAGTGAATACGACAACATCGTTTATGTATAAACGAAGGTATCACCTGCAAGATGGCGGGGACTTAAACGATTACAACATACCTCCCTCGATATTTGTGAAGTCCAATGCGGATTATAACATACCTCCATCAATACTTGTAGAGGGAGACACGAATCACAACAAACATCCAATACTCATGAGGTTCAACGTTGAACGAAGAAACCTTCCCAACGCTTAACGTCAACCCACACAACTACAGACCTTGATAAAATCGCCCCAGCACCCGACTTTACACTTGAAAACTCAACATACATTGGAGTCAAGTTCATCATATTACCAACGGAAACTAGGTAGGGTGAGACCTTGATAATCACAACGACAGATAGTTGCACTGAGGACAGAATAAGGATCATAGTACGACTACCTTAGAATC